CATGGGGGCCTGGTGGTGGGGGTGGGGGCTGGGACATCCCCTCAGCCCACTTCTCATAAGAGATGGGGGCGCTCAGGGGAGAATGAAATAATTTAACTGGAAATCAATTTAAAACATGGTTTCAGTCTTCACATGAGCATGAGTATGTGACAGAGTGGAAATCCGGAGCATTTTGATGACAGATTGGGAGGGGTCCACAGCTGTTGCTGTAGTTTCCTCCGCTGTTCATCGGCTGGACCCCCAGGGACTTTGCAGAGACTCACTGGTTGGTTCCCAGTCCACACTCTGAGCTTTGAGGTGGCTCCAGATGAATGTGTCCCTCAAACATGCAGTCACTATCTGCTAATCCACTCAGTGGTGCCATGTTTTAGTCCCTCAGGGTTCCAGGGTCCCTGCTGGGAGTTGAGGGAAAGAAGGATTGCAAGACAGACAGACAGAATGAGAAGGAGAGACAGAAACAGACAGAGACTGAGGAAGAGAGAGAGACACAGAGACGCAGATAGAGTGACAGAGAAAAGGAGGAGAGAAGAAAGAATGAGTCTAGGGAGGAACCGTGCTGACCTCGGGACCAGACAGGCCTGCCGCTCAGCTTACCTTCTTTGATCCTCTTGCAGTTTGTTTAATAAACCAAATGCTTAGGAAAGACATTCTAGTCCTGCTACTGTGTTCTCATTGCTGAAAGGGACAGTGAGGCCACAGCAAGACCAGAGCACCCTCAAGTGACTCCTCTGAGGCTCACTGTACAGGTGACCGGTGTGGATGGACCAGGGAAGGTCTGAGCTGTGTCCACTGGCTCTGGGCTTTGTGTGGGAAGGTGGGGTCTTGAGCTGCCCATGCCATTCAGATTTCAAGGCAATGTCTGCCTCTCAGTTCCAGGATGCATCATGGTCCGAATAACACCGTTTGGTCTCACCCTAGCACAGCTATCTCCGCATTCACTAGATGGGCCCCGGGCCTGTGTCGTGGTCATGCTGAGTGTTCCGAGCTTGAGGACCCCACTCCTGAGTCAGAGATCTTGAAGAGGACTGGAGCTCATGACTCAGTTCTTTGCAACTCAAAAAGTCTAGTGATAGTGGAGCTCCTGGGGGTGGAAAGGGTTAAATGTTTGTATGCTAACCAAAAGCTTGGGGGTCTGGGTCTATCCAGAGGAACCTTGGAAGAAAGTCTTGAGGATCTCCTTCCAAAAATGCAACCGTGGAGAACGCTATGGAACAGAGCTTTATTCTGACACACAAGGGGTCGTCCTGAGACAACATTAAGTGAATTGGGGGCCTGCAAGGGAGGCTGGAGAACAGGCCAGGGTACACTGAGCCGGGTGGATCAGGGGCCCTCCCAGTGCCTCCCAGCTGTCGTACTCTCCAGAATCTTTCAGCTCAGGGTCTATAGCCCCAGGAGAGTGTCTGATTTTCACCCATGACCACAGATGGCCAGGGGACGGCCACCTGTGTCCTCTGTGATGATGCCTCCACACCCCTGTTGTGCACACAGATCATAGCAGCAGCCCAGTTGTGTGACAGCCCTGTGGGGCTTACTGCCCTCCATGCTACCCTGGTGTAGCACTATAGGATAAGCACTGGACTGCTAACAGCAAGATTGGCGGTTCAAACCCACCAGCCACTCTGGAAAACACTATACAGGGTCTCCTTGAGCTGAAACCAAGTTAAGGACATACAACAATATGCTACCCCAGAAGGGAGACATGGGGACATGGTCCAGAGAGCAGGAAGGCAGAAATGGTGTCTGAGACTGGAGGAGGCGTGCTGGGCACTGTCGGGGTCTGGAACAAGGAAGCTACCCTGGATTTGGGGGAACTGGTTTCTGGAGTAGAAGATGGGTCCAGGATCCTAGGAGAGAAACAGAGCTCTGAAGGGGGCATACATCCAAGCAGGGCTAAGAGGGGTCCCACCAGGGCACCTGGGAGGTGAAGCCCCCTGGAAGAATGATGGTGATCCCCAGTCACCCCCAGAAAAACAAGCTCCCATCAGAAGCCCTTGAGGTTCAGAAACACCAGTCTGAGTCTACCCTGAAACACAGGGTAAGGGGGTCTGTTTGAGGCTGGCCCTCTCTCATCTCCAACCAGAAACTGCTGACATGTCCATTTTCTTTCAGGGAAGTAGTTGTTGTTGTTAAGTGACATCAAGTTGGTTCCGACTCATAGTGACTCTGTATAGGGTTTCTAGCAGGGGTGCTGCCTGGCTGGGTATATAGTCCTATAGAGGGCAGGGCAGGCGGCGGCCTGTGGGCAGCACCGCACCTCCACTGGGCACTGACCAAGCCCTGGTCACTCCCCCACTCCTGCCTCCCTCCTCCTTTAAGCAAAGTTCAGCATTGCCTGGTCCAGGAACCACGTACATACAGCCTGGCTGTGGGCAGGGTGAGGGCTTGTGCCCCGTCCTGTACTACCTGTCGTGCTGAAAGGACGTCCTTGTCCCTCACAGCGGGAGGTTGAAAATTCATAAAGCACGGAAGGGGGTGGTGAGAAGGAAGCACTGCCCCCAGAGATCACTGGCTGTCTGTCTGTCAGCTTTCTAGAGCCCTGTTCTTCCCCACCCCAGGGAAGTGCAGCTGCTCAGTCTGCACCTCCCCGCCCCCCCCCGCCCCCCACTGGCATCTTCACAGCCTCACATACAGGCCACCTCCCTGTGAGAGAGTTCTAGGCATCTGAACTCAGAGGAGCCAGTTATGGTGGTGGTATTTGAAACTAAATTCATGGACTCTGACTGCTAACCACAAGGCTGGTGGTTCGAACCCATCAGCTGCTTTAATTCTTATCTACCGGCTGCTCTAGGAAACTATTCAGGATCGCTATGAGCTAGAACCAACTCAATGACTTTTATCAACAAACAGCATGTTCCTTATTAGTCAGAATGGACTTCATGGTGGTGGGTCAGCTTTGGGTTGGTGTTGTATTGCTGTTACATTAAGAGCTCTCAAGTCAGTTGTGACTCCTAGTGACCCTGTGTGGGTTTCTGAGAAACAGCTGGTGTTACCTGCGGACATTGTGCTTCAAACTGACCTTATAGTCGAGTGCTTATCCTACAGCACCACACCGTAATGCTGGTGCTGTTGTTGAGTACTGTCAAGCTGATTCTAACCCATAGTGACCCTGTAGAGGGTTTCTAAGGAGCAACTGGTGGGTTTGAACCACCAACCTTGTGATTCACAGTCCAATGCCGATCCTACAACGCCACACCAGGAGTCCAAATAATCACCTTAAAAAGTGCACTATCATGGTTTTCAGTACATGCACACAGTTGTGCATTCACCACTACTTCTAGTACATTTTCATCACCCCGAACAGAAACCTGTGCCTGTTAGCAACCACTCGACACCATGAATCTGCTTTCTGTCTGCGTGGGTTTGCCTATTCTGGGCATCTCATATACATGCAATCCCAAAATCATTTTGTGAGACTCCTGCCAGTGTTGAGGGGCCATCTAGCCCACAGCCAGTGGTGCTGGGGTGGAAGCCCTGTTGGGCCTAGTAACTTCCCAGCTTGCTCTGTCTCCTAGTGATTTTGCCATGAGCCTTCTCCCAGGGAGCTCTCTATCCCCCACAGATCTGTCCGCAAAGGTCAGTGACTTCAGGTTGGGGAAGCTTTCCAGCATGACCCTGTCACCATCAAGAGCCTATCTCACTCCTCTCTCAGGTGTGACTGGACCATCTCCTGCTTCCAGTACAAGGTCCATTCCCTAGGAACAGGTATATCAGGGCTGCCCTGAGCCAAAACCGGAGGACTGTTCTCCGTGGGAACCATGTACCTCCCCAGCCTCCCCTTGGCTGTCTGCTGCATTGGTCTCCTGGCTAGCCACACACTGCCTGCCGCACCGTCCTCCACTTGGCCACACCTTTGCACAAGCTGGACAATGAATAAGGAAAACCAAAGAATCATTGATGCATTTGAATTACAGTGTTGGTCAAGAGTATTGACTATACTGCCAGAAGAATGAAGAAATCAATCTGTCTTGGAACAAGTACAGCTAGGAAGCAAAGATGGTGAGATTTGGTCTCACGTACTTTGGACATGTTGTCAGGAGGGACCAGTCTCTGGAGAAGGACATCATGCTCGGTAAAGTAGAGGGTCAGTGAGAAAGAGTAAGATGGACCAACACCGTGGCTGCAACAGTGGGCTCAAGGTGGCAAAGACTGTGAGGATAGCACAGGATGGGGAAGTGTCCCTATGAGTCTGAACCGACCATACAAACACTAACAACAGCCCAGTTCTTACCCAGCCTCTCCTTCATTGCCAACAGAACCCAGGGACTCAAGGCCTGCCTGCAATCTTGAGGTCCATAGGGCCCCCTATCCCCGAAGGCCCGACCCTCTATTAATCCAGGCCCAGTCTCCAGGTCCCTTCACTCCCCACGACCCCTCTGGGCTGAGCAGGGTTGTAGGAGGGTAAGGGAGAGGGGACTGATAATCTCTTTCCCCAAGCCCAGGATCTCTTCAAGTCTGAGATTATTTCAGGGAAAACGTCCCAGGCACAAGATGGGCCCGTATATTCACGTGGAAGGAGGCTGAGAGGGCCCAGAATAGGAGTTAGCCCCGGGCTGTGGACGCTGGGGTAGTCGAGACTGGACACTGGACGGATTTGGGTAGGCTTGTGGCATTTCTGGTCTCTGTCCTGGGGTCTTTGCTCCGTGAGACGCTGAGTCGTCGCCCCTTTAAGAAGGGGGTCCTGTCCCCCCTCCTCCACCATCGCGGAGCCCCCAGGGGCCGTGGGTGGGGGAGACAAGGCACAGCTGTCATCCTGGGCCAAAGGCGAGGGAGGGGGGTCGGGGCCAGGGGCGGTGGTATCTAAGGGGCGGAGTCGGGGTGGAGTTTGATGCGGAGTTGTGTGAAGATCGGGGTTTTAAGGCGGGATTTTGAGGCGGGGCGCCGGGGGCGGGCTGCGGGGAGGGGCTTTGAGGCGGACGCGGCGGGGGCGCTCTCTTCCTACCGATTGCGCTCGGGCTCGGGGTTCGGACCCACCGAGGGGCGCCCGCGGGCGCGGCAACACCATGGGTTGCTGTACTGGTCGTTGCACGCTCATTTTCCTCTGCGCTTTCCAGCTGGTGAGTGGGAACTCGTTCGCGGGTTCGATTCCCCTCCGGTCCCGAAGTCCCCGCGGACTCGGGTCCGTGGATCCGTCTTTCGGGATGCAGCCAGCCTCCTTGAGAGGGTGGCCCGGACCCTCGGGCTTCCGCGGCCGAAGTTCGCTGCCTCCCGGGAGAGGGTGGGGAGCTGGCGCCGCGTGCCGGACCCAGATCTGCCCCTCCCGGTGTGTGTCTGAATGTCTGGGGTCCCAAGCGGCTGAGACAGGTGCCGGGAGCGGCTGGAAGGCACAGGCGGGGAACAAAAGACGGGGCGGGGTGGAGTGCTGCCTCGTCCTGGGACCGTCCCTCGGCGCCTGAGATATTGGGCCTTGAGCCGTGGGTACCCCAGATTCCCTGCCCGCTCTCAACAAGTCCGTGGACGCCATCGGGAAGGGGGCAGTTGCGCGCCGGGTCCAACGTCCATGTGGCCGCGGGTGTGTGTGCCCAGACGCTCCTTGGTTTGAGTGTGTGTGTGTGTGTGTGTGGCAGGCGCCTAAGGAGCGTAAAGTTCCTTCCTGAGACCTGACACCTCCCGGGAGGTACTTGTGAGTTTGCAAGTGTGGGAGTGTGAGCTCCTGCCCCCACAACTCCGCTCTCCTGCGTGTGTGTGTGTGTGTGTGTGTGTGTGTGTGTGTGTGTGTGAGCGTGCTCTTCCTCACCCCCTCCCCCAGTGTCGGCCTCCAAGATCTTTTTTTTTTTGAGGGGGAGGAGATTAGCTGGAGGCACAGCTTTGTCAGGGAACTCCAGTGTCTCTCAGCCAAGTTTCCTTTCCATCCTCAAGTCCAGCTCTGGGCACCTCCGTCTTTCCGGACCCCGTGTCACCCAGCAGGAACCAGATAAACAAAGGTCACAGCCTGTGTGGTGGGGGTCGGGGCTGCGTGGCTCCTTTGCTGACAGGCTGCTGGATGGCGCTCAGACTCTCATCTTAAAGAGGAAACACGGCTTTGTTGTCTGCCCACTGGCTAGGGGCGCTGAGGGCTCAGCTGGGCAAGCGGCTGCTTTCTCCTCATTCTGAGCAAGAGGCCCAGGAGGCATGGTGATGCTGTCTTAACTAGCAAAGTCCCTGGCCATCAGTGACTATGCACACTTTGGTGTCGTGCCTGACAGCTGACCAGGGAGAGCTCTGTACTGAGGCAACATAAAGGCAGGGGTGGGGGCCTACAGGGAGGTGAGACAGAGAGGCCTGTAGGGTTTGTGGGAAGGTGGGGGGCATATACGGCTGGAGAGAGATCCTGGAGTCACCGCCTGAGACTGGGAGGCCCAAGGACTGCTCTGTGAACAATAGGGAGCCACAGCAAGACTTGGAGCAGCAGTGTCACTGCCTTTAGTGACCCTTAGGAGGTACTTTAGTTTCTGGGTCCTGTGTCGTGCTGTGGAGGCCTGATACAGAAACAAGAAGGAAGGGGTGGGAGTGGTCAGCAGGCTGGGAGCAAGGGCCAGGGTACACTGGCCAGCACTGAGGCTTGGAATGTCCCAAGTGGTAGGCAATGGTGTGTGGATATCAGGAGGCAGGACTGCTCTGGGGCGGTGAGGACTTCGGTTAGAACATTTGGACAAGAGGGTGAGGGACACACTCAGGACTAATAGGTGGGAGGACTAGAAATGGGAGTCCCATGTCCGATGAGCCAGAGCTGAGTGTTACCTTGGGGCTTGGAGGGTCCAGGCTGGGTCAGCAGCCTATTTTAACCCCATGGTGGACAGCAAGGGTCAGGCAGGGCCAGGCAGACCTGAAGTTTGCCTGAAGCTGAGGGGAAAGGCCCTCTCAGACTGAGGGCAGCAGGATCTCCCTGGGCTTGGGTTTCTCTGAGTCTCAGCTGGCCCCCAGGAACACAGAGGCTCCGCACTGTGACGTGAAGTAAACTGTGAAAGGCCTCTTGTCCTGCCAAGACCAAGTGGAGGGCCATCGTCCAGTGGGGGTGGAGAGCTGGGGGCAGTGGAAAGCAATTTGACACCCCCAGTGCTCCAGCTGCTGCGTGTGGTGGTGAGTGGGCCACAGAGGAAGGAGGGCAGGGAGGGAGTCCTGCAGTCTGTCTTTCTCTTTTTGACAAGTGTGAGAGTTTTCCCGTTACCAGGCTACGGGACAAAAGGCCGAGCATCTCTTCTGGAGCCTTCCCAGAAGAATAGCATGAACTTTGCCCGCTTGGGGTTGCAAAGACGTTTCAGGGACTGTTTCCCAGGCAGGCTCTGACACATTGACAAGAGGGGGAGTTAGGAGGCTGGAAGTTCTGCCCATGGCTTGGCAGGATGCTGGACCTAAGTTGCAGGGAGCCTGGGCCACCTGAGGTCAGCTAACAGTGCCTATGTCCCAAAGAGGAAGTGTCCTGCTTGGGGCCTGGCATAAATACTAACCAGGTGGCTGCCCATTCTACCTGTCCAGATCTTTCCTGTTCTGAACACAGCCTGGGCCGCACCTAGGGAAACATCCAGGCAGGCACACAACACTCCTGACTGCCCTGGTTGTAACTGACCCCCCTCAGGAGCATCCATACCCCCCTCTGTGGTGGGTCACACCTGAAAGACAGGCTAGACCCCTTGAGGATGGTTGGAGCTGAGGTTCAGGTCAATGATGAAAGGCAGGGTTCTGAATGTGTATCCCAGCTCAGGGTGAAGAAAGATGCTCATGGGACAGGGGTTCTCAGACAGGGGCCACACCCCACATTTTCCAACTGCTGCAGTGGGGCACCATTCTCCTAGATAAGGTCCTGAGGCTGCACCTCCAGCATCGCTGAGCCCCACATTGTAGCAGCTTGGCATTCTCCTTCTCTGGAGGTTGTCTGGCAGAGGTCAGTGTTTCTTTTCAGGGGGTCAGTGAGGTTGGCCGAGACCCAGACTGTAGGGGTGGCCCCACAAGTGCCCAGACCATGCTCTTGGGAGCCATTTGCTATTTCTCACCATTGAGGATTTCTGTCCCCACTGTCCTTCAGAGCCCTGTTCCCACATGCGGTGGCCCCAGAACTTCATGCACAGGCTCCTTGCCTACTAACACTTTAGGGCCACCTCCCCAAGATCTCAGCTTCAGCACCCCTGTTTCCAAAAGGGCGCTTTTCCAGGTCATTTCATCCACCTCCCTCCTCATCACCCTGTGAGCTCCTCACGGTGGAGAACCCCTCTCTGGCACATGGCAGGGGCTCAGTGGCTGACGGAGCTACCACAGTCCCACACTTGCCTCACTTGCCCCAACGCCTGGCTGGGGCTGTGGATCTCTGGACAGGCTGGCTGGTCCTTCTGTGTGTCTGACTGGCTGTCTTTGCTGCTATCAGTTCTCTGGGGCTGGCCATGTTTGCTGGGTTGCCAGAAGAATGAGGCGCAGAACTATAGGAGGCCATCTGGGGTGGAGGGAAGGCTGCCTTCTGTTGACTGTCATGGCGATTTTGGCCACCATTCATCTGTTCAGCCCTGTGGAGGGTCTGGCGCTGAGCCGAGGTTTCTGCTCGTTTCTCCTGCCATCGTGAGGCCCGTTCAGAGGCCAGAGCCTGTGGGTTTAGGAGGCCAACAGTGCCAGGGGAGGAGGCTGGGGCAGGAGACCTCCAATAGATGGGGAACTCAATTCAGCCGACATCAGGGAGCGTGGAGAGGGACCCAGCTAAGCCCATCCTGGCTAACACTGTGATTACAGCCTGGTGAACCCGGAGCTGAGGGCCCGGCAGGCACACACCTAGACTCTTCAAACACAGAAACTGCAGTAACACCGGGTGTTGGGTTAGCCACTAATCTGCGCTTTGTTACCTGGTCAGAATTGACTGCTATGTCCACCCTGCCCTCCCAAAGTGGAAGCCCATGCCAGTCTGTTGATTGGTTGGTCAGTCTGGTCAGCAGTGTGCTGTGGCCTGAGCCCACCTTGGCCTGGTGCATACCTGCACCCTGGAGGGTAGGCAGACCCTCCTTTTCTCAGTGTGACTAGTGGGCCTAGCCCGCCCACCTAGTGTCCTCTGGCCAGCAGATCTGTGAGCATCCCTGAAGCAAAGGAGACACCTCAACTGAAGAACTGTGTTTAGATCCGCACCCGCCCCCCTGGCACTAGCTAAAGCGCCGGCTCCCATGTGTGAGCAGGGCCCTCCCCGGGAGGTGGGGACCTTGGTGGAGGGTGGGAAGAGAGCTTATTTTTAGCAGTGGGAACAGAGGCAAGTGAGGCTTCTAGCTGAGATTTCACACCTGGTTGTCTGAGCAAGTGAAGCCTGCTGTCTGCCCTGGAAGTTCCTAGTCCCAGCTGGGGGTGCGCTGGGGGGTGCTCCCAGAACCACAGGCACATTGGGTAAATGCCAGTGTTACTGATGATGAGGTCAGTCCCAGGGTGGTGGTATGTAATCCAGGGGCATCAGTGAGCCCCTAAGAATAGGGAAGGAAAGTGTGAACATGGACACTTGGCAGCAAAGCCACCCATGGGCTCCTCTTGGGGCCCAGGTTTGGGGGCAGGGAAGGAGACCGCAGGACAGACCCTCCAGGCACTATTGTCACCCTCATCTGAGCTCTGCATCCCAACCTGAGCCACTGTACTGGCAAACAAGGGCCTATCGGAGCAGGCTGGCTACAGGCCCACGGGGATAGACAGTAACCAGAGCCCAGGCAGGGACAGTCAGCTACGCAGAGTCTCTGCTCACCTGCACTTAACTTCCCCAGAGGCCCACCCCAATCCACTGGGGGAGGGGCTGCAGATGGTACCCTCTGACAATGCCAGACACCATGATGTGTCAGGGTCTTTGGTGGTGGCAGCAGGTGGGCCAGCACACCCCCCTCCCACCACCCAGCAGTCAGGGTGCAAGCTACTATGGGGTCTGCAGAGATGCTGAGGGGAACCTCGAGGGGCTGGGGGTGTAGCACCATGCATTACTGCACCACCGCTCCCTGCCCCCCACTACAGCTGTCTCCTAGAGTGGACCCCAGCCCATGGGACATGCTCCCCGAGGCCCCCGTTCCATGTAGCATGGGCTGTGCCCTGGGGTGGGCTGGGGGAGGGAAGTGGGTTAGCGCCCATGACCAGCCAATGACAACGGAGGCTCGGGAAGATCCACAAAGCCCCCCTCTATCCTCAGTCTTAGTGCTGGGAGAGGCTTTGTGGAAAGAGAGGCCACCCCACCTATCCTCCTGCCCTCCCCCCATCCCCCCATCCCAGGTACCCCCTGTCTTGCAAGTGGCAATCCAGGCCTATGGTGCGAAGTCTCCCTAATGTCAGGGGGGGTGGCCTCAGTGGACCTTTCCCCACTTCAGCATGAGGTCACTTCACCCAGGTCTGAGGTAGTCAGTCCCGCCTTCCTTGCCTGGCAGGACCAGAGCTCACAGAGCTGGGCTGCTAGCCTCAAGGTCAGCAGTGCGAGACTACCAGCCGTTCCTAGGGAGAAAGATGAGGCTTTCTGCTCCCGTAAACATTTACAGCCTCAGAAACCGTACACAGGGTCACTATGAGTTGGAACTGACTCCACGGCACACCATCAACCACCACCACCACCCTCCCCCTGGACAGAGATATGTGTAAACACTGAGGACCCACAGACTCGGGAACAGGACACACTCAGGGTCTTTAGTGCCTGTCAGCTGAGAGCTGTGGTGCCCTGCACTGTGTGCCCAGTGCCCACTGCTGTCTCCCTGCCGCATGTTCTGTGCACCACAGCCCAGACCCTGAGCCCTGCCGCATGCTCTGTGCCCTGCAGCCTGTGCCCTGCGCCATGCACTAAGTGCCCTGCTCTTGGTGCTGTGTGGTGGTTTGGTACTACTGTCCATACATTGGTGCCACACATTCCCATTCCCCAGAGGAAGAGCCCAAGAACAGGGAAGGTGGCTGTTGAGGGTAGATCGTGTGAGGCAGAGGTTTGAAGTACCCTTTGGAGTGCCCAGACGGATGCTCTGCATTGGCAGGCTTGTCCAGAGGGTTCTGTTGGGAAAGTCTGAATGTGGTGGGTACCCTGGCTCTGCCCTCACCTGCCCGCTTTCCCTAGGTCACAGCTCTGGAGAGGCAGGTATTTGATTTCCTGGGCTACCAGTGGGCACCCATCCTGGCCAACTTCATCCACATTGTCCTCGTCATCCTGGGGCTCTTCGGCACTGTCCAGTATCGGCCACGCTACATCATCATGGTGAGTCCACCAACAACTGCTCCGCTCTCCTGGAAACCTCGGGGTGCCGAGAATGTTGTGTTTCTGCCCCCAGAATGTCAGACAGCAGGTGGCTGGAACCCTGCCATGGACAGTGATTTCTGGGTGCCACTGTGAACTGCTACCTGTCTGAGAAGCCCTGGGCACATGGCGTGGTTTCACTAAGTCAGTAGCCCGGGCCTACACAGTGACACATCTGTGAGCCAAGCCCATGTATGGTGAAGCTCAGACCAGAGTCTGGCTGTTGCGCTTTGATTTGTTGATTGCTTTTGGTGGGGACGAACTGTGTTGGTCAGGGGTTGGCCGAGTAGACATTTTCAGCTTTGCAGACCACACAGTCTCGGTCCCAACTCCTCAGCTCTGCTACTGAGGCTCAAAAGCAGCCTACATATCAATGCATGGGTGTGGCTGTGTGACAATAGAGGGTTAGTGACAAAAGTGGGTGGGGATTGGAGACTGGCCAGATGCTGAGCCGCTGATCCTCCTGTTTGGGCCCTTTGAGGTAAAATCTCTCTCATTCTGGCTTCTCACACTGTCAGCATCCTTATTCTATTTGCAATTCACCTCCACTCAGCCTGCACACCACCCCCAAGGGCCCCCACTCAGTGAGGAGCAGAGTTTAACTGCTACCCTTCCCTCTCGTCTTCCCAGTACGCAGGATGGGCGGCCATCTGGGTCACGTGGAACATCTTCATCATCTGCTTCTACCTGGAAGTGGGGGGTCTCTCCAAGGTGAGTGAGGCAGGGAAGATAGGACCACCATGCTTTGTTCACAAGCCCTCCTGGACGGGCTATAGTGGGAGGGGGCTGCCTGAGGCTTGGTGCTAACTCTTCCCTCCCTCACTCCAGGACAGTGAGCTCCTGACCTTCAACCTCTCCCAGCACCGCTCCTGGTGGCATGAACATGGGCTGGGCTGTCTGCGCAGGGAGGTGCCAGCTGCCAGTCTCAGGCCCCTGGACGGCCAGGCCCTGGTGTCGGGCATCGACTGCACCTTGGAGCACCGCTATGTGGAGATCCTGCACAGTATCCTACAGGCCCTGGTGGCGGTGAGCATGACCAAAGGTTCAGGACCATGGTGGGAGGGGACAGGCCCCCAAGGTATCCTCCCATTGAGGGGGAGACAGTCCAGGTGAGTCACTCAACCTCTCAGTGCCTTGATTCCCTCATCTGTGAAATGGGGGGAGACAGTAGTACCCTCCTCAGAGTGTCACTGCAAGAGCTGAGCATTTCAGCACCGAGGCCAGCTCCTGGACTGGGTGGGGCGGGGGGCTCCCTGCCTCCCCTGACTCCCCTGACCTAGGCTTTTGAGTGGCCTGCCTTGGCTCCCTACACCCTCACACCCACCACAGCAGCCTTCACCAAGCCTGCAGTCGTCCTCCCGCCACGCCCCACTGGAGAAGCCTGCTGGATAGACCTCACCTGGACATTCTTGTGTCTTCCAGCTCGTGGGTTTTGTCTATGCCTGCTATGTGGTCAGTGTGATCACCGAGGAGGAAGACAGCTGTGAGTAAGCAGCACCTACCCAGGGTGCTGGGGCCCCGGCCTGGCCATGCGGGCAGGTGTAGGACAGGAGGCAGGACCACAGCCCCTAGTGGGTCCTTGTCAATGCTGTATCCTGAGAAGGAAAGCAGCTCCACCCCCTGGCCCCAGTCTGGCAAAGTCCTCCTGCTGACTTTCTCTGGGGTTCAGTGGGAGCCACCAATACCCTGTAGAGACCCAGCTAAGTAGGACAAATCAGGGGGGGGAGGACGTCAGGGCGCTCCAGGGGTTCAGAACCACCCTCCCGAGGACTGCCCTCCCAGGGCTCAGAACCGGGCATTCAGTCATCTGTCCCCAAGAGTCAGGTGGTAGTTATACACAGATGACACCCCACAATTGGGAGCCGCACCCCCACATTTGGGAGCCCACACATCTCCTGCTGGGAAAGAAAATGCACTTTACATTTTGATTGCATTATAGTGGTTTAGGGTGGGAACCAGATCTGGGGACAGAAATGCATCAAATGTACTCAACTCCTCGGGTCACTCACCAAACCACCTACTAGCACGCCCTGATCACCCATCAGCTCATCCACCCTGACCATGCCATCCACCAGCTCTGCAGACCTAAACTTTCTTGCTGGGTGGTGAGTTTTTGTGAACAAGCAGTGAGGGGGCGTACTTTGGAGATCGGGCTCCTAGCCAGTCTCAGAACATCATCCCTGCTCTGTCCACTGGCCACATTCTGAGTGTGCCCCAGGCTAGGATGTGTTCCCCTTATTTCAGTCCTGGGCAGTATCTCATCTCCAGAGAGCTCTTGAGGAGGGGCTGGTGTGTCTGTTCTCCCCAAGGCCCTATGCTTACCGTCACCACAGGATGTGAGCTCTGCAGTTGGGCCTCCACCCCACCATCTTTTCCATTGTTTATTTGGGTCTTGATTTCTTTCAGTTGATTTCATTGGTGGATTTGACCCATTTCCTCTCCACCATGTCAGTGAAAAACCTGCCCATCTCTTATTGAAGCAGGCGTCCTTGTAAGTATGGCCAGCAGGTGCCTTGGGGGCAGGGCCTGCCCAGCAGGCCTACTCATGGCCACTAGGCTCCCATCCTGGGGCTCCTCAGCCAGGCACCATCCTTTGTCCATCCATCCATCCATCCATCCATCCTTCCATCCATCCATCCACACTTTTCACTTTCCCACCAGGCTCTGGGTTGAGCTCCTGTTAGAGGCCTCAGGGCTCTCTACAGAGTGTGGATTTGAACAGGAGACAGAAGAGCCTGGAGGAGTCATGTTAGGAGAGTCTATATACCCAGCATGCTCTGTGCAGAGGGCCTGGGGTGGCCCTGGAAGGCACGGACGACTCGGTGTAGTCTCTAAGTGTCTCTGTGTTTGGATAGTTGGGGTGTGGTCCCCTTGAAGGTCAGACTTCTTTTCCAACATGTCTGTGACATTGCTCAGCCCAGGCCTTGGGCTCTGCTAGCTCACCCTTCTGAGTGGTCCTTTGCCATGAACTTGGGACTCAGAAGGGGTGTCTGGTGGCTTGCTGGGTAAAGCTGTGACCGTCCCTAGCATGCAGGCCCAGCCCACCTATTCTGAGGGTCCAGGACCTTCAGAAGTGGCAGGGAGTTGCCTCTCATTACAGACGAGGAAACAGAGACCCTGAGAGGGGGCAGTGTTCACTGGCTTTTGTGGTCAGGCACCCAAGTCTCTGACAGGGTGCCTCTATACTGCCTGAGGGACCAGACTGGGCAGACCCCCACTCCACTCCCAACCCCCAGGTGCCACCATGAGGCAGCCTCACGGTCCTTCCAGAATGCCCAGCCCTGCCCTCCATCATGTGGCTCTGTTTGCCAATGATCAGGAGGAGACCCCCTTTCAGATTGTGAGGTCAGATGGCCCTGACCACCTGCTGGCAGCTCTAACCACTGCCTTGCCCCCAACTCCCACAGGCCAACATAAATGAGGAAGCATCTGAGCTCCAGTATGAGACCTCCCAGCCTCAGGCTGCGCCCACCGCCAGGGACTCCAAGTGCAGACCCCCTGCATCCCTGCCCAGACTGCTGTGACTGCTGGAACTTGGAAAGATTTTGTCATTTTTCTCTAAAAAAGACGTAAGCTAAAAAGAGCCAAGGAAAACACATCCCTTCACCTCTGCCCACTGCAGGCCAGGGACTCCCGTCGCAGTATAGAGCTGTAGCTGCTGACGTTGCTGGGGCGCTGACCAGAAGGCTGAGAGTCTGAGAGCGAGCCATCACCCCAAGGCTGCAGGCCCATTAAACAAGCTCTCACACTGCCTGGCCCGTGTTCTCCCCGCTGTGGACTGAGACCGAGAGTTGGCCCCCAATACAGGTGTGCTGTGACACCGAGGTGGAGCTCATGAAAAGATCTAGTGGAATCGAACCCCAAGGCACCCGAGCCAATGGAAACAGGCCCAGCCTTAGTGCTGGAGTCTGGTGTGGGAAGTGGTCCCTAAAATGTCAGAAATATAAGCATGGGGACTAGAAGAGGTCCCAAGGTCAGAGCCCTCAAAGATGGGGCTTAGGGAAATGACCCAAGTCTACGAAGCCTTGGTACTACCCCCTGCTGGTGTGGAGCCACAAGGACAGGGCTGCTGGAACCATCAGAAAAAACTTCCACCTTATTGAAAATCTTCAAAATCTTCAAACTTCAAAAGATGCAAACTAGGTACAGAAAACCCCCCACCCTTCCCCATCCACGGCCCCTCTCCCTCAGCAGCTGTCAAGGAACTGGGTTCTTAGAGCTGGTCACCAGTTCAGCTTCCTGAGAGACCAAACTCATACCCATTGGGTGGTCCCTGGGGAAGGCCCCTCTATTGGCTGTTGGACCAGGTGGGGGCAGGAGCAGTTCAACACTGGCGGGAGAGCGCTTGTCTACCCAGCCAGGGCATTCAGTGCCCAGAGAACGCCAGTGAGACAGCCCCCGCCCTTGCCACCCTCTCTACCGTCCTTAGAAGAGTGCAGTCATGCTTCGATAATGAGAGGTTCATGCCGCTCCAATCCACGGATTCCTCCAGCCTGGGCTCCCAGGGGAAGGTGGACCCTCATCTGCACAGGGGCTGGCTAGCTTAGGGCAGCAAGGGGATGCTTAATTGTAAGCAGGGCGGAATTCAGAGAATCCCAGATTGAGAGCGAGCCCAGGCACAGTCTCTCCTCCCCAGAGCACTGAGCCTGGCTGCACTTCCTGACAGCTGTCCTTAGAAGAAGCCAGGGTCCAGCCCAGCAGGCCAGGGAGGAGGCTGCCCACAACAGTCTGGACAGTTGGGCACTGAGAGTCACTGGGTGCTCACCTGGCTTAGGACAGGTAGGTATGGACATAGGGCAGATGGGGCACAGGTTCCGATTGGGGGCACAGTCGGTGCAGATTAGGTGGCCGCAGGGCACGAAGAGCATGCCCACTGTGCAGTCCAGGCGTGCTCTTCAGCATGCCCTCAGCTTGCAGATCCACTCCTGGCGCAGGCGCTGTAGCTCCTCCATGCTCTCAGCTCCTTGGAGGGGTCAGGAGCGCATCCATATCCCTGGGTCCCACATAAAGTTGAGTCCTCAGTGTCCTCAAGGTGGGAGTCCCTTCTGAGTACAGACAGACCGGGGACCCCATGGATAGAAGCTGTGGGTCCATGGGGAATGATGGTAATCCCTGCCTCGTGACCCCTCCTCTCCCAGAGAGCACTGCAGGTCCCGGGTCTCCTGATTGTGCCCAGAAGTCTCCTGGAAGGACTGTCAACCAGCCCCCTCAGCTGGGTGCTCTGCCTGCCCAGCGCCCTCTGTGAGGGCTGAGGACACAGTGCCCAGAGGGTTGACAGAACAGAGCTGCCCCTTCCCAGCCACGCCAAGCAGCCGTTGTGCCCCCCTAGCTGTTCAGCAGACGCTGGACACCCAGTGACCTCCACACAGCACAGGTTGCAGGAACCCAGGGAAAGCTCACCTGAGGCAGTGGCATCTCCTGGTTCTTCCAATGGGTCCTCGAAGGAGCCAGAGAACATTGATGCTGGAATTCAAGGAGGTGCAGGGGTGGGAAGGGTCCTCACTGGAAGCCCCATAGGCCCTCAAGGGGCCGGAACTCACCCAGGAACTGAGCAGGGAGTAGGAGGTCTGGACGCTGTGGACAAAAGCTCTTTGACTGCAGCAAGAATTCACACCTGAAGAAACAGAGTTCTGAAGACAGTGGGTCTGACTGTCAAACGTTGTGTGCCCCTCCCGCCCCGTGGAGGACCTTGGAGCTGGTGTGGAGCCTTCTGCTTCTGTCTCCCCAATACCCTTGAGTTCTGAGGCTGGTTTGGAAGTAGCTTGTCAAGCAACCCGGAGAAACAGCAATGGAGAAAGCATTTCTGCTCCCCAGAGGCCTTCCAAAGGGGCCTTTAACTGAAAGGATCCACGTGTCGGCTACCCAAGAAGGGTTGTCCCTAACTCCTGAGGTTGTAGAGGAGATGGGAGAAAACTGGAAGAGAGAGGGGGCTTGGGAAGAGGGCTGGTCAGACAGAGAGGAGGGCCCAGGCCTCAGGAACCACACCCAGCTGTTACCTGGGGAGCCATTTGGCAATGTTCAGTCCAGGGGTCATCTCTCGGCCCCCAGCTCTGCGGACTCCCCTTGTCATGGGGGCCTGGAAGAGAAGAGCTGTTCACTGCACTGACCCCGCTGGCCTGTCCCTCAGTTTTTGGAAAGATGAACCACAAAGCTGGAGAGCAGGACAAAGTTCATGAAGCCCAGCCCGGAGCGATGAATGCATGTAGTCATGGGAAACAGATGGTGTGACCTGGGGGAGAGGACCCACTGTGAGGGGCTGCTGACCATCCTAGCATCCACAGCGTCCCCCCACCCCTCGCAAATCCGGCTTGCTTCCTCTCTCGGGACAGAGAAAGGCATTGTGCCAGGCCCTGACAGGACAAAGAGGGCAGTGACCAGAGCCAATAAACCCTAAAGACCTTTCACATGGAATGCTTGGTCAGCAGTCACCTAGAAACCATCCCTAGAATGTCCATGAACATGACAGGCACAGGTCCAGGTAAGGGGACCAGCTCCTCGCCCCCTCCTCCTGGGGACCCCTAAGCAGTGGACTCACTGCTGTCCTGCCAGCTGTCCATCAGCCCCATCCCCAAGCATCATGGACTGGTCACACTCTACAGTTCTCCCTGAGAGGCTTCAGGAGGGCAGCAAGTGGCCCAAGGCTGTGAAGAGGCTTCAAGTCCCCCGGATTCCCACTGCGGGGAATGAGTCACAACCTGGCAGAGGTCCCTCCACTCACCAGCTTCGGCCAGCTATGTTGGGCAAATCAGGGTGGACAGTGGCCAGCTGTGAAAGGAGGCCAGTCAAAGCCCCTGAGAACGCATCCTGGGGAAAGCGGGTCTGAGGGGGCAGGTAGCCTCTTCTTCCTCTTCCTCGTCCAGTCCAGTGGGCACAGCTGGCCCAGAATCTGCCCATCCACACTGTCCCAGGCTGGGTCAAGGCTGCGCTGAGGTGGGGAGCTGTGGTGTCCCTGTGTGGGGCTCAGCTCTGGGCCATAGCAGCAGTACTGGTCCCTGTGCTTAGGTCACATGGAGAAAGCCCAAGCCCTCCAGAGCCTGTCCTCCTCCACTATGTCCAGCCAGCCTGCTAAGGGGCTCCTGACCGCCCCCCCCCCCACCTCCCAGCAGTCTCCACCCCCAGCAGCTGGGAGAGGGCAGGCACCATTGCCCTGCCCACCAGCGGCTCCAGATGGGGGAGTGCCCAGGGGTCCGGGAGGGCAACTGGGGCCCAATGCCACCTTCTGGAAGGAGCCAGGGTGGCACCCGGTATCACGTGGTCTCCTGAGCAGTGGTGCATCGTGGGGCTCCTTGGCAGGGCTGGGGGGCTGTTTACAGGAGCCGGCTCTAGGGGCATGAAGACCCTGCTAAGGCTGGATGGCTGTGTTCTCCTGAGATTGAGAAAGGAGGTTACTAGACTGCTGGGAGGTGGCCCGGGCCTGGGCTGACCACCAGGTACAACCTCTGGGAAAACCAGACATGGCTCAATAGCTGGAGCGCAAGGGGCAGACCAGAGGGGA